TGAAATGAATTGCATTACGTCAGATTCTTTTTAAGTTTGTGAGAAACATTTCGGGAATGTTTAGTCACATAATATGTAGATACAACGCGTCGAATAAATCTCTCTCTTCGAGCATACAACACCGACATGTCTTGGGTTTAGTGACGGGATTTATTCACAAGTTCTTTTTATAACGAAAAACAAAACCAACTTCAAATATCTCGCTCCGTATTAATTTTATATCAATTATAAAATTAATACGGAGGAGTTCAGGAGTTCCCTAAGTATCTTCGTGGAACAAGATCCAATACCAATGAATTTAATATGGGAATACATGGGAAGCACCAGCTTTCAAATAAATAAAGAACCATCAAAATCAATTCACGATGTCGAAAGTTATGACTGTTTCGTTCTATGATGATTGAAATTTTATCTGTGGTAATATTGTTAAGATTGGATTTTATTTTTTGATTGATTGTTTTTTAATGAAAAAAAATACTTTTGAAGAATCTACATCCAAGGCCGACGACGTATATGCACAATATGTTATAGTTTTTCAAGCGTACGCTATTCACCATCTTGGGACCTGGGGTTCCCGACCTTTAGATAGGCAGGCCTACAAGCTGACTCGCTGGATGAAAAGCAATTAATTCCACGTCTACGTTCTTTAAGGTCGTCATCGAATCACAAACTGAGCCGTTCGTTTGCGATGGACTAATTAAATAATGCATGTTCACCAACGGCGGTGGCTCCCGCGGATCGTCGACCGGCCGTGACCGCGTTGTAAATGACCCTACAGCTAACTGCATCGCTTACGTAACGCAAGTGTGAGGTTGGCATTAATAGCCTCTTAATCGCCATATATCTTCTTCTTTCTACAGCCCACGCTAAGTTGGATCGGCACATCATGTCTTTTCCTTCCACTATCCTCTATCAACCGTCATCTCAATTCTTACCCCTTAGACATATAATTTTCACTCAGTCCATCCAAATCTTTCTCGATTCATCTCTAGCTTTACACTCTCTAACCACATTCATATTCAACACTCTTCTAGTGCCACTTACATTGTGCATACGTGCCGCACAATGTAAACAGACAATTTTTACCCCTTTTAGTTCCGTACCTCAATAAGTTAGGCTGATAATTTAATATAGAAACAATTTGTCATCCGTCTGTCCATTGCTTGTCCGTCCTAGAAACTGAAGTTTCTCTTCTATGTTCCATTCGCAGTTTTGAAGTTTAAACGAATACTTAAATACTAATTTAAACTTAAATAATATAATATTGAGATTCCTATCAGAAATTTTGAGTTTTATAGTCAATCGTCATTAAAAATCATTGGCAAGAAGCAAAATTCTGAGAAAAAATTCGAAAATTATAATTTTTAATCTTCGTCTTCGGGATTATTAAATTTATACGTAACTGTTATTTACGCACAAAGAGCGAGTCCTATGTCGGTTAATTATATTTAACTGTTCTTTCACCGAACTTTTAGAGGATATATTGTGCTATGTGGACTTACACTTACGTTATTTCAATTGCAATAATTTCCGATCGCCTTTTAATAAACGCAGAAAAAAAGCTCCAGCTACGATTTCTTAAAATAAAAAAAACGTAGGAATATTATAATTATGATGAAGTCTACATGATTTTATTCTCATTTCACTTAAAAAATTAGCTTTTTAAATAATAAATATTAAAAAATAAATCGATAAAAACATATACATAAGATATTGTTTAATATTAGTTTAAAAATGCTTAATATCTTCATTTGATACTGTTCATACGGATTTGCGTAGTATACAGCGTATCGTTTCAACCGCCACAATAAATGAACACACATATAAACAAAAAAATTATATTAAACATTTACATTCTTTAAACATCAATATTTACAGAGTTATAAAATTTTCCATTACAAACAATTTTAGAACAGCCTTATGTAGAAAACTGTAACGTAAAGTTCATCTGTAAAGGTAACAAAGCATATGAATGGGTTGAATGAATTAAAAATAGATAAAACATACTATAAGAAGTAGACATTTGTAATGCAACGCTGTGGCAACGAATGAAAAAGTCTGAATGTAAGAATCAGTCAGTTGTAGTTCTATGGGTGTTAAAAATTTCTTCTAAAAGTTTCTTTTTTATTTAATTAGTTTGTTCTAAAAATATTTTTTTTAATTATGGATTTTTTTTAAAGCTTACCTATATTTTTTTATGATTATTGGCAAGTAGCGTTAGACGTGTGTTCATTTATTGTCGCGGTTGTAACGACACGCTGTATAGTGAACCTATCTCTTGCGCTAGAGGGTTGTTAGAGACAAGTGTGCGTTCGATCCCCACTACTGGACAGGGTTGTGTGATGAACATACCTTTTTTCTATTCCCTGGGTGTTTATATATATGAAATCTTTTATTTACCACGGAAAAGTATAATTAAGTACCTTTGTTTACCAGTTAACTAGTACCCACAGTACAGTTTTTGCTGTTTGGGACTAGAAAAAATTGTGTATAACCATTTATTACCTTAATGCACTACAATAATTTTAGCATCCAGACACGGTCAGAACCGAAAAAATATTCAGTGTAACAAAATTGTGTTTTTCAGCAAGATGAAAGGTACCTATATTATATACGGTATATTATATCAGTTTGCCAAATAAGTCCTGCTGACATATTATCATTTGGAAAAACACCTACGCTTGCTTACCCTCTGAAGAGTAAAAAACTTTGAAATATTCTTACAGATTACATAAACGCGTGTTATTATAATCGGTATTTTAAAAATTTCATTATACATGACTGTGACGATCTTTTACAATGTAAATTAAAACGATAACTTGAAAAACATTTTTGAGGGAATAAAAGTTACCAGACTCTGAACTGTGGCAAAGACATTGACCTCATGATTCCGAGAAGAACAATGAATAAATAAATCATTATACAACAAAAAATATGCATTATTCTCGAGACAATGGGTCTGTTACCAAATACTGAGATCAAGTTTATGTATTTGTAATTTTTAAAAGACCGGTTTTGTATTAAATTATTTATTAACTTACAAGTACCCTATCGTATATTATAATCGACCATGAAAACATCTGCCACTATGGGATATCTATATCGTGCCGCCGTATCATATTTATTATGATGGACGCTGACAATAAATATCGATTGATAAAGAAAATAGCTTCAGCTTAACAAAAATGTATCCCATTAAGCACCGTAGGATACATTAACAAATATTAATATTGCACACGTGTCTACTGAGTGGTCTCAAGCTCTCAAGTAAATCTGTCGCACGTAATAATAAGTTATACTAAAGTTTAGAATTACTTATTATTAGATGTATAGCTGCAATATACACTAAGCATTGTAACGCTGAAATCTACATATGATAATACTATGACTAAACGGTAGTTATTAAAAATTAATATATTTAAACTAATATCCATAAGATTTCTAAAATTAATAAATTAGTAAATAATAGTTCTTCTGAAAACACACACTTTTTTCTCTATATCAGATATATAAAAGTAGTATACCCTACAAAAAGTAGTATACCCTACAAAACCATGTCCTACCAAGATCAACTAGCACATTTAAATATGGAATCATTAGCGCATCGTAGAGACATCTTAGATCTTTTGTTTGCATATAAGCTACTTCGTAACCATATTGACTGTCTACAACTCCTTGCTCTTTTTAACTACCGTATACCTCGCAAGTATCGCTCTCTTAGCTCCGCAAATTAAACGCACTATTCTGGGAAAAAACTCACCAGTGTCTCGCCTGTCTAATTTAATTCATGAATGCACTACAACCGTTGATATTCATTTTGACTCATTAATAGTATTTCGGAGTAAAATAAATGAATATCTTAAAATAAGAAGCTCTTAAAATTTATTTAATGCTAAGATTTAAGTAATTTTTATTTGTATAAGTCATTATACAAATGAGTCATTTGTATTCTGTTTGATGTTGTATGTAACTTATCATTTTGTCATTTAAAACAATACCATATACCACATGACTTAAATTCAAAGAGTACTTTTATATCTCTGAAATCTGCTTAAATTTCTTCATAGATTTTTCTCTTTTTTGTCTTGCCTTATAAAATTACAATCTGCTTTTTTTAATCTTAATTTATTTAGTAATAAGTTAGTAATAAGTAATGATATTTTGTCCACACTTTTCGTTTAACTTTTATTAATTTTTTTTGTTTTAATTTTTAAGCATGTTGTGTTTGCCTCTTAATTAGATGTACATTTAGGTGTAACATTAATTCATGTTTCGTATAATATTGTTTTTAATGTAACACCTACTGCAGACCTAATAAATAAATAAAAGTACTCTTTGCTCTTTCCGTGTCTGAAAACTGAAAATTGATGAGTCTGAAAACGTAATTTGACAATCAGGCATAAAAACTTGTTAATACTAGTGTCATCTAGTGGGCATTACATGAGCTAGTACAAAAATTAACAGATTTTATATGGCATTAAAATAAGAGTGGAAATGGAAGTACACATTTCCGCTATATATAACAAATTGTGTTTCTTCTCATCTCATACATTGCATTGCAATACACATATTTTTATTCAAATGATGGTTTTATTTTACATCGCTTTGTCCTTTCGTATAATCTGTCAAAGTTAATGATTTATTCAGTCAGTTATCTATTTTTTATGGTTTTATCTGTAGTATCCGTAATTGATTGTATTTTATTACTGAAATTAATTAAATTCCATGAAATAACGCTCTTATTATCTAATTTGTCGTTATTACTTTTTTGCAGTAATATTTTTCGCCCTTATTTTGCCATCAAAGTATTTTTTTAAATAATTGGACCGTACGAACAGGTTATATAGCCGCCTTCCAGTGACAACATCACCTTTGTGAAAGGAATACTCAAGTTATAAATGAATAATGAAAAGAGAAATTCTCGGGGAAGAGGCCGTGGACGGGGCCGAGGTCGAGGACGAGGCAGGGGACGTGGCCGAGGTAAAAAGGTACCCAAAGTTATGTCGTCCGATGAAGAAGAATGCTCTGTAGAGGAAACCACTCAAGAAACAGAAGATGCTCCTCCGGAAGAACCAAAAGAAGAAGCGGAGCCTGCTGAGCCCCCAAAATGTAAGTTACATTATTTTATAGAATAAATTATAAATCATTAATTGCAATATACAACTTCCAACAGGAATGAGAGAAAAAGTTTATGGTAGCATCCTAAGCTTTTTCTCTCATTCCTGTTATTTAAAAAGCCCTGTTATTTAATATGATATTTTTAAAAATATTAACTTTTTAAAATTAGTATCATATGAGGTTTACCATAATATGGCTTAAAAGAGTTAAAATTTTACAGTGGAGGTGCCTTCTGACATATCCCAGCTTGAAGCCCCTGTGTTCACAACAATACAACGGGGGCCTCCTGAACCTATGCTTCGTCTGGATTGGAGCCACCGAGCCACCTTGATTGGAGAGAAAGTTCTCAACCCTATGATATACTGCTGTGATATTTGCTCAAAACCAATCCTTATTTATGGAAGAATGGTATGTCTCTCAACATGTCAAGCACTCCTTGCTCTAATTATTCTAAATGAAATGATCAAAAAGAAATAAAAAGAAATGCTGCATTTCTGTTTAACTTCTATCATTTGGAGAAAAAATATGAATTTCAATAGAACATATTGTTAAATATAAAAGTAAAATAATTTGTGATAAATTTATATATTGTTAAAACATCACAGAATTACTTTGTTATAGGTTTTTTGAACTGTTTTTATGAACAATTTGGGTTATAATAATTTCATAAACTTTTAACTGTATATTCCAATTATTGATAGGTGATAAAAGTAATTAAGAAAAATTCTTACTTTTGCTGCAATAATTTAACATGATTTGACTATACAGCGTGTTGTTACCATCGCGACAATAAATGAACACACATATTGGGGATAACTTTTTAAAGTTGTATTAAACATTTAAATTATTTAAACATCAATATTTACAGAGTTATTAAATTTTCCACAACAAAGAATTTTAGAACAGCCTTACCTATAAAAGCGTAACGTAAAGTTCATTTGTAAAGGTCACAAAGCATATGAATGGGTTGAATGAATTTAAAAGAGACAAAACATACTGTTAGAAGGAGAGGCTTGTAGTAAGACGCTGTGGCGCGAGTTGTATAGGATGTTACAAATTTTGTTTCTTTTTTACTTAATTAGTTTGTTTGAATAATATTTTTTTTAATTATGGATTTTGTTTAACGTTAATATTTTTTTATGATTATTGGCAAGTAGCGTTAGACGTGTGTTCATTTATTGTCGCGATGGTAACGACACGCTGTATATTATTTAGTTTTAATGAAGATTTTTTTATACATAATTAAAATTAAAAGATCAAGAACTTAGATTTCTTGCAAGTAAAATACAAATAGGTTAACAAAGTGTTCATTTTATATTTAAATAATTTTATTACTAATTTTTAGATTCCATGCAAACATGTGTTCTGCCTGTCTTGTGCCAGATCTGAACATACTCACTGCCCACGGTGTAGAGAGAAGGTACAGCGTCTTTGCCATATTTGTAATATCTGTAGACTAAACAAATAATTAAGTAAATACAAATTTACTTCGACGAAACCTAATGTCTTCTAACCCTTACAATATACAAACCTGTTGAATTACGACCGGCCCTAATTTTTCATTAAAAGTATTGGAATAGTTTTTTAAATGTAATGATTATAAAGTTATAATATCTTCACTTCAGCCTTGGCTTAATTGCCCTTTAATTCATTAGGGAACAGTTCTAAACATCAAAGCTGATTTTAAAACTGTTCAGAACATAAAATAACTAATTAATAATTTTTTTTTCAATAAGTACTATTCTAGTCAACACTACATTCAAGCAGCATCATTGACTTTTTCTATATATTGAATAGCATGTATTAAATAGTGCTAGACTTTTTTTTATGTGAAAAGTCGCCAAACGAGCAGACGGTACACCCGATGGTAGGTGAATACCGGTGGTATGTAGTAGATGTGTTAGATGTGGGCGGTGGTCCATGGACATCTACTACACCCGAGGGTTACAGAGGCGTTGACAACCTATTGAAAATTGGGCTCCAGCTACCTCACTCACCAGACGAAACGCGAAAGTATTTGTCATACTTCCACTTTACGCTGGTCTTCTGTGAGGTCCTGGTACTTACCGGATGGGCCTGCCCATTCGAGCAACAGCCGAGACAGCTGCGTGGCCCTACCACCGTAAGACTATGCATAATGTAAGAGCAAATATAAATGTATGAGTGTTTCACAGGTTTTGCGGGTCGAACAGACTGGTCTGGGGACAGTTTTCATGTGTACACATTCTGGAACTAGGTATGGAAATACAGGTTGCAGAAGGACCTACCTGTCACAGGTAATTTAAGTAAACATTGTCTATATTCTTAGGCAAGTAATTCAATTGACTCAAAAACTTAGGTAAAACATACATGAGCCACAACAGCTACTGAGCTGGATAAAGTCCTGGCACCTACTTTTAATTCAATAAATTGAAGCAACCTGAGTTGAAATCTCGGTGCTGGCACCAATGACATTGTTAATTGCAATATCATGTGCTCATCTGTGTACAAAAACATTGTGAAACAACCTGCATATTTTTTAAATAATATTTAAAAAATAATAATATACAGCGTGTCGTTACCATCGCGACAACAAATGACCACACGTCTAACGCTACTTGCCAATAATCATAAAAAAATATTAACGTTAAACAAAATCCATAATTAAAAAAAAATATTTTTCCAACAAACTAATTAAGTAAAAAAGAAACAAAATTTGTAACATCCTATACAACTCGCGCCACAGCGTCGCATTACAAGCCTCTCCTAACAGTATGTTTTGTCTCTTTTAAACTCATTCAACCCATTCATATGCTTTGTGACCTTTACAAATGAACTTTACGTTACAGTTTTATATGTAAGGGTGTTCTAAATTCTATGTTTTGAAAAATTTAATAACTCTGTAAATATTGATATTTAAAGAATGTAAATGTTTAATACAATTTTAAAAATTTATCCCCTATATGTGTGTTCATTTATTGTCGCGATGTTAACGACACGCTGTATACCATTTTATTATTCAATTTCAGAGAGATTTGCAAGCCCATATAAACCATCGCCATGTGTCGTCGGGCCCAGTTGAAAATAAACCTGAGCAAGAACCACCCAGCGCTGCTGTCGCCATCGTCAAAACTATGACTGTGAGATTACTGATATGTATTGAAATACCACTAAATAAGCTGAACTTTACCATATCTAACTGAGTTAATTAGTAACAGGGATTTTGTTGTGAGAGAACAACATTAATTAAATAATGATTCCTATTATTCACTACCTCAGCTATGCTAATACTTCAGCAAATGACCAGCTCGAGCGCAGTAAAACTTACCGCCCCAATATGACAGATGGCGCCGTCGGCCAACGATCCGCGCGCCCACCCGCTGGGCCTGGCCGCCCACGCCCACGCCCACGCGACAGGCGAGCGCCGCCCCGCCCGCACTAACCTCATCACGGTGCCCATACAGGACCAGACCGACTCGCACGGCTACTTCAACTACTATCAGGTGATAACTGGACCACTGGCCTTATTTATACTTTATCTCTAACCATATATAAAAATAGATATCAAATGGCGAACTTACTGCCCAAATGCATTCTCTACCAGTCAACTCAGGATGTAGTGAGAGCTTATGGTAGGTGCAACGAGACATGCAAAAGTCGCCATATAGTCCACTACTTGCTATACTAATATTAACAGATAAAATGTTTCGGTGCTATAAGCAGTTAGTGATGCTTTAATTAATCAATATCATCAGTTCAGCCCGTTTGAGTCCACTGGTGAACATAACTGGCCTTCCCGAAAGTTAAATGTGTATTTAATAAAATTAGTTATCCATTTAACCACATGCTTGCCCTAAAAACAATGTGTGAAAAACATTTAGCTTCCAACAAATATGTCATTGTGTGCTATTAAAGATATAACGCGATAAATTCGCGCTACAACTGTTTCTACACAAAGACGAGGAAGCAAACCCGGTACAACTTGTTGCTCCTAGGACTTGTACCAGGCGGAATTGCCATAATATTCCAAGCGTACTACGAAATTTTAAAGGGCTTTTTTCCATGTTTCTAGCAACCCCCGCAATCCGTCGGGGCAAATCCTCTCCCGCCAGTGACATCAGTGCAGGTTTTGCCGCACAATATGAGCGTGCCGCCACCCTACTACGTGCCGCCCTACTCGGCACCGCCAGCGAACTACGCACCGCCCGGTTAGACAACTTCAGCCTTAGTCGAAAATAAACTACTGCCGAACAGAAATCTATAGAGGTCGTTTTGTGAATTATCCATCTGGGAGGACCAGAAATTGTACGTCTGAGTTAAATGTGACTCATAGACATTGCTGTTTTGTGGTATCAAAATACAAATTTACTTAAGTCTAAATAGAATATCCTTCACCTCTTAAAACGAATGAAATAGGCAAATGTGTACTATAACTATATTTCACAAATTTTTTCAAGTCATAAATTAGCTAAGACTGGCAACCTTATCCTTAGCTCACGCGACCCATATGCAGGGTCCAAACCATCTCTGACAAAAAAGAAAAAAATATTCGCCTTATCATTGAATTTTAATATTATTTTGATGCAAATTACAATTATTTGGCTGTAACTCCATTATATTAGTTGCGATCCATAACTGCGACTCGCTAAAAGGTTACCCACACAATATCCACCATTCGGGTCTTGTAGATGTCTATCAGATATAAGGCCTGTAGAAAATCATTTCAATTTCACCAAAGACAACACAAAACGAAGAAAAAAGGTAATGTGCCGCATGTGTTATATTCCTCTGTTATATTTATATTTTTGTGTGGTGGTTTTACCACTGCCTGGAAAGGCCCATTGTAATCTTCTCTTCAGCCCACTACCCTGCGTTGTAAGGATGTTTTACATACATAAATTGCACGAGGACAAACGCCCAGAACAACTGCGGCAATTGATAAGGCCACGCAACAGCTTCGGTTGTTGCACGATTGGGCAGATCGTCCTGTTAAGTACCACAACCTCACAGAAGACCAACGTGAAGCAAAAGTGCCATACTTCAGTGTTTCGTCTGGTGAGTGAGGTAGCCTGGGCCCACTTTATTTAAAGGTGGCAATGCATCTGTAAAACTATGGGTGTTATAAACGCTTGACACCTTCACGCATAAAAAAAATGTTTCTCTGTTACAGGTGGTAGTATGACGCCGAACGTGGCGGGCGTGTCGCCTATGCCAGGTGGCGTGGGCCTCGCCGGTGTGGGCGTGGGAGGAGTGGGAGTGGGCGACGGCTCGCGCTGGCCCGAGGGCTACCAGCCGCCCACCGTCCCGGTGCAGCCGTGGCCCCACGCCCAGCAACACTACTACCGGTAGCATTCGCAGTACTGGACGGACCACCGATAGCCGTACCTGTGCATCGCGCTCGTCCCGTGCGTAGTGGAGATAGCCCCTGATAACGTTGAGTGAATCTTGGATACATTCCCAGTGATGTGGACTAGGCGAGTTCTCTAAGTAGTATAAAAAAATCCCATAATTTTATTGATAATTATACACTAACAAGTGTTAAAACTGCAGTTCGAAAATTGTTAACTCCACCCGTACCTAGCATGTATCCTCTCCGATACATCCTGGCTTATGTTAGATTTATTCGCGTTAAATTGTGAGCCTAATGTAATGGACTATGATGCTCTTAAATAATGAATTGAATTAACATAGTTTTAGTTAGCTACATTTATATGTCTTTTACATTTATCCCAATCGGTAAGACTCAAATAATAAGTGTTTGACACCTATTAACTGCACTTTTGCTGTCATAAATTTAATAATAAACTTTGAATGATATACTGATATGTTTTCCTTTATTTTATATAAAGCTACATTATTCCCTAAGTGATGACTAGATGCAATTCTAGAAAAAAATTATATGTTTATTGATTATGTTGAATCTAAATGCTTGGTAAAAACAACAAGAATTTTGGGCAATTGCAACAAGAACATTATAACACCGAAATGATAATATCTTTAATGATGTTTTTTTATATTAATAAAATAAGTCCATATTGAACACTAATAAAGTAAAATATTTACTGGAGATAACAAAACTATAAAATTTATAATTGTTGAATATTAATATTTAATGAAAAAATATTACATTGTAACATTTTTCTAAAACTACATATTTAATTATTAAATTCTTTTCATTTATGAAATTCTTAGATGAAAAACTTCTATATATTTTGAGGAATCCAAAATCCTGTAATTTAATTTTAGTACAATATTATTGTAGGCTGTTCATAACATAATTTATACATTATCAATTGTATCTGTTATAAAATGTAATGTGGTAATTGTAAATAATCACGTCATTATATAATAAATCAAGATAGGTCATAAGAAATAAAAATAAATGATTGGGAATTATTTATTTAACACTAATCAATATTAATTATATTTACAACAACACAACTCCATTCACACATACCAATAACTGGACACTGTTAACAAACGCATATAGCCACAGATATGCCCTATCCACCAATCACAGAACCGTAATAGTATGCTAACGGACTTTTTTATATAAAAGAAAAACAAATACTATTGTATAAATTCACAGTGCCATTGCAGAAACTTCATCAAACACATGGCCATAAATGCAAACAGTTTCCCGCCATAAATTGTAGTTTTGATCGGTTTTTAAGCGACTTTGATACTGCGCATTTTCAGTAGAATCCAAAGCCCCGTTTACCTTAAAATAAGCAGCACTTTGCAATTATTTTAACTAACTTCAGGGAGACAATGAAGTTTTACATACTCTGTATAGTACATAGATGTATATAATACATTTACAATTTAAACTATCAGTCGCGTTAATATTCTTTTTTACAATTTTAATAATGTTGTGATTGTTGCAGATTGTTTAAAATTTTCTATTTAATTTACACTCTGGTTATTTAATATTGGTGTTGCCAGATTTATTTAAAATTTTCTAATAATTCAGCAAAATGGAAATGTTAGCTGGACAAAAAGATGTTCCATAATATATAAAACATAACATTGTTGTCATTAAAGTCATATGTTATTCCATAAAAATATTTTGTGTATCATATAGAAAGTATATGGAAGTAAAAATATTTATCTATAGATAGGCAAAAATAATGTATTGTTAAAACTAAATGTAGACGAAAAATTAAGTGTACTCTGTATATTATATAAATATATGCTCCAAACAATATTAAATATATATAGAACATAAACTTCTAATAATATATTTAATAAAATTGGTTTCATTTGTTTTATTAACGTTTCCTATATCTACATGTATACATCATATGGGAATATTTTTTCTGAACACTTTCCAACTAAACAAATATGTTAATGTTATAATCCACAAAATGTTGTTTTCATAAATGTTTTAACAGCATTATTAATTTCAAGACTCTTGATTTGGTTACATTATCTTGCGGGAACTCTGAACATTAATTAAGAGTACTCCCACATTGGACCTGTCAACAAACTTAAAAATAAACCTGACTCGAAGATCATGAGGTCTTTGTTGTTGGGGTCGAGGGTTCCGTGCTGATGTCAACAAGAGTTGTCTCAGGTATAGTTGGGGGTTTTGCTTCCGCCACCTCAGCCGCGGAGAACTGTGGGATCACGTGAGAGGCCTGCATCTTCCTCACAGCATCCATATTAACTTTGGTCGATAGATTCTTCTGTCGCGTCTGCTCAGAAGTCTTCGACAATCGCTCGCTCAATGCTTTCAGCGCGATTTGCCTGGAGCGCACAGTACAACATGTTTTTATAAAGAATAAATGTGGCTAAATCGATTGACGTTTAAATAGTGACTAAAAAGTTAAAGCACCTCACCATCAGCTTTGTGGTGCCAGATGCATTGACAACCTTTTGAATATTGAGCTCCGGCCACCTCACTCACCAGACGAAAAGCGAAAGTATTATACTTCCACTTTACGCCAGTCTTCTGCGAGGTCGTGGTACCTACCCAGACGAGCCTACCCATTCGTGCAACGGCCGAGGCTGCTGCGTGGCCCTACCACCGTACCGTAGTACGTATCGTTTTTTAAAAAAAATAATTATAAGTGTATGTATACACACCGCCGTCTCTCCATATCATGGGGCTCTACGCCGGGCAGCGAGATGGTGACTCCTCGAGGGCTGAGCGCCAGAGTGACGCGGCGCGGCGCTGGCGTGCAGATCCCTAACCTCGCGAGACAACGTGCCGGCGGCCCGAGTATGCCGCGGACTAACGGCTGAAGCACGGTCGGGAAGAAACTGGTAAAGTGAATTCAACATGGTTAAATTTTTCCGTTTTGACAGACAACAATACTATAAAGTGGAAGCTGCCCTTAAGGCACAAATTATTATTATATAAGACCTGCGTACGACCTATTATGTCTTACGCATGCATGACCTTCGCCCACATGCACCCTACTCGCTTGTACAAGTTGCAAATAGTACAAAATAAGTTCATCCGCCGCGCAACCGGTGCGCAGTGGTATCAACGCAACGTCGACCTGCACAGCGATTGCAGGCTCCCGACGATTCGCGAATATTTTAAAGATGATGATGTTTGGTCAGGCAAATGGTTCTTTGATAGAGCCGAACATCATCCCAACCCTCTGGTGGTAAGCGCAGCAAATTACCAACCCGACACAAACGCGAACGTCAACAAGCGTCGCCCGCGAAACGTCCTAATCGACCCGGTCGAGGAAGGGGACTTAGATACGCCGGACCCACCGCCGGGGGTCCCGCCGGACAACACTACACCCAAAGTTAGTGCAACAACAAACACACTAGTTCGCCCTCGCCTCCGAGCACGGCGAGACCGACACAACGCGTACACAAGGTACGCCCGCGTTCCGGGGCGGTTCTCACCGCTTCCAGCCACCGATTAGCTAATTGCACAGTCGACGGCCATCGGGGTTCGGTCCGAACCGCGACTTCGATGGCCCTTAGATGACACACCTTAGTTAAATGCACGCATGAGCACATGCGTGGCCCTAACCCGTGGGTTCTGGCTAGCCCACCGGTTCTGCGTCAGATGAAGCTTTAATAGTCTCGGGACTGAAAGCAAAAACATCAGTTAATACAAGATACAAAAAGTTGATAATGCGCCGAGTATAGTGATAATTTAGTCATAATTCAGATGAATATTACAACACAATCAAAATCAATAGATTGCTATCCAATTCGAAGGCAATATAAAACATATGTTTGCCATAGTTTATATCAAAGAACAAAATGTATCCTGATATACACCACAATTAATATTTTGTATATTTTTCTCACAAATAATAGAAGTCTAAGTAATTCATCAACATTAATGTTTAAATCCACCAACAGTTTGCATATACAGCAGTCCAGAATAAAACCCAAAGAAGACTGCCATTGAAAGCCTAAAAATATTTTGTAATTAAAACATGTAATATAAAAAGCAACACTAACAACTTCCTAACATTCAAGATTTTTTTTTAATTACTTGTCAAAACTAAAGTTGTCAGCCATATCCCCCCTTGAGCCGCTGCTATGCCGTTGCCAAAACCTCAGATATATCCATGACAGAATAGTACCACTACCCCACATGCACGGGTAGGTGCCTTCCAATGCCCCAACAGCCCAGAGTATTATTGCAGCAACCAATATCAGCAATGGCAAGGAGCGATTAGTTAGTTTTCCTGAAAATTAAATAAAATTATAAATTGTACCCTAGTAAACTCAATAACAAATAATGAAATGAGCTAAATATGAGAAATGCATGTATTGAAAAGTTAAATCACGAATGAATGTATACAGCGTGTCGTTACAATCGCGACAATAAATGAACACATGTCTAACGCTACTTGCCAATAATCATAAAAAAATATAGAACGTTAAAAAAATATATTTTTCAAACAAACTAATTACGTAAAAAGAAACAAAATTGGTAACATCCTACAACTACAAATGACTGATTCATACATTCAGAGATGTTTTCATTTGTTGCCACAACGTCGCATTATAAGCCTCTCCTTCTAATAGTATGTTTTATCTCTTTTTAACTTCATTTAACCCATTCATAAGCTTTGTGACCTTTACAAATGAACTTTATGTTACAGTTTCATACATAAGGGTGTTTTAGAAATGTTTATTTTGTAAAATTTAACTCAGTAAATATTTATGTTTAAAGAATGTAAATGAGTAATATAATTTTCAAAAGTTATCCTCTATATGTATGGTCATTTATTGTCGCGATTGTAAAGACACGCTGTATACGCATAAGGGTTACAGAAAAAAATGTGTATTCATTTATTGTCACGGTTGTAATGACACACTGTTTATTACAGTATTACTTTTTGATTTGTAAGTTAATCTTAAATATAAATATTATAAAACTTGTAAACTCATTTTAAATACCATATAAGTATTAGTTTACAAAATACTGCCAGAATTTCTCAATACAAAGTTTTAACATGGAGTAATATTTAATCAATCCATATTAAATTAAACTATCTATTGTGTTTTATCGTTTTTTGTATTAAATTGCAATATTTTTATTGGTTAAAAAATATAAAAACTCAATTAAGATAACACTTTTGTCATAAGATTAAAACATATTTCTTTCCTTAACTGATAATTCATTACATTTTACTAATTTATACTAACAGAAATTTGAAAGACATCAATGTTATCTATCCACATGTGTTCTGGATTAATGCAATTGTAACATTGGACAACTTTTAAATGGACAAGCAAAATAACTTAAGTGATAAGTCTTATCATGAAAATAAAATAAAGTATAGTAATTTTAAAGTTGTTTGATTAAAATATTTATTTAAATTTAAAAATATCTGACTTAGTTAATACTTTTAATATATGATGTCTCACATCAAATTTAAACAATTTTTACAGACTGTAATTATGATTTATTTACTTATTTTAGGCATTATTAAATTTCAACATATCTCAATTTAAACATATCCATAAACCCTAGAAAGAAAACACATTACTAAAATAAAGTGAAGCAATAGGTGACATAGTTTAATATTAATAATAAGGTAATCAACATTAAGTAACAGCAAAAATTATGTAAAATTTTCAATAATCACTTTATAGGGGACATTGACCATAATTATAATTGATAAATGGTTACCATAGCAATAATATAGAATCAATTAAAAGATCCACATACCTAGAGGTGTTTTTATCAACAAGTGATCTGGCATAATTTGCTTCACAGCCACACTTACAGCAGCTAAGTATCCTGCAAGTCCGTGAACATGGATATCGAACAATAGGGACGTGTCCTGTGTCCATGCATATATCACCAAGTAGTAAAATGTTGTCAAAAATGCAACACCCACATTTGTTAGGAAAAAGAACTTCATCATCTCCATTTGCCCCCATAGTGGTTCAATGAGTTTCCCGCATAGACCAACCGTCACAATATCGATTATCACTTCCCACAAATGTATCTCTAGGAACCAGAACGTGAAAGTAGACCACAACTGAAAAGAAGGTGGCAACAAAAACCCTGGTGTAACACTAAGAACATTAACAACGGACTCCGAATACGATAATATGTACCCTATTATAACAACTACACAAATAAATTTAACTGAAGGCGATGTGTTTCCTAATAAAGCAGAAAATTGTTGCCTTAAGTAGGGTATATTACGGCTAAACACCCTGAGCGCAGCCATTTTTGTGACGGATTGGATGAACAATCAACAACACTGTCAAATGTCAATGTCAAATTGTCAATTATCATAATTTAACCTTTATTTTTTAATGTATAGTTGAACATCTCCAGTTTTCTTCATACAGACAATTTGTCAATAGTTACATATTTTTACATTTTCATCTGAATAATATAATGTTCCTCGTTTATTATTCATCTGATTTAATTTATCAAGATACTGTTTAAAGATAATAACTCACGTTACTTCATTTAACGGAGGGTCGTCCCCCGAGGATAGTGCCAAGTGCCACTTGAGAACCATTCCTCCCCATCGGTTATCGGTTGTATTGTACGAGCTATACTGTCGGCCTATTTTTTAGTCTTCTGTCTTTTACTAATCTTCTGAGCTATTTCAGTTTTAGTCTTAAATCTTTTTTAGTCCAATTGTCCATCTTTCTTTTACATGGGTCGAGGAGATGCAGCGACACGGATTTTTGTATCGTCGTAGTGTACCTGTTTCGTTTACTTAAATGTCTCTTCTGATGAAGATTCCAAACCTACCATGCTAACAACAAACTACAGTTAAAGAAAACAAATCCTATTAACTACTTATTTGGAACTGTCCGGTTTAATACCAAAGCACCACGTAGGCACCTCACCCCGGCTCAGCGACACTGTTGTCAATAATATGGCAACTTGGCAAGTTACTGTCCAGCCCGACCACGTTGCATAAAGGCTATGTGGCCATGCAACCGTGAATGTCGCCCCGTGTCATTGCCGTGTCCGCACAGCTGGGTGCTATGCAAAAGCAAGGGTTATCCCGTGAACTTGCTGCCCTCCAGACTCAAGAATTAAGACGCAATTAGCACTCGATTCTGGACGGATTCCAAGGGACGCCTCAAGTTACTTCCACACACGCAACCGTCATCCCCGGTCACCTTCTTCCAGTGGCTTACGCATTGACCTAAGGGATAGGTCAATGCGTAAGCCACGGTGGGGTTTGGTTTGGGGGTGCGGAAGCTAGGGTTCAAGCCTGCGCCTACCTCTTAGGTCAACGTTTTAGATTCACGCTCGACTAAGACTTCGGCAAGCACCATGATTCCCAACATGGCATCTCTGCCTCCTCTTCCTGCGCTTTTAATTTTGCCATTCTAAAGAAAGGCTAGTGAATGATCGGTGTTATGAAATGCCAATAAACCTCAGAGGACTGTTGGCGAGAAAAATTAAACTGCCCGTGCTTTCGATCGATATCGCAGTCATGAGAGAAAGCAATAACAAATATTAAATCAGAGAATATCTTTACTATGCCTCCTCTGCCTGCCCGATGGTAACAAAGCAGTCAAAGACGACAAGAAGGCCGTGAAAAGCATACGAGACTACTTGTCAAACTTTTGGCGTCGATTTCATTTCGATTCGCAACTTACACACGATACATAACCGCAAGTTATTTTGTTGTTTTTACTACATCATTCGCTCGTTACGTAAATAATTATAAACCATTTTAATTTTTCAAGACATGTTTTGGCAAATTATTATTTCTGTTATCAGTTATTTAACGCAAATAAACAAATTCTCGGAATTTATCGTAAGTGATATGGAAACACAAAATTCATTAATTAATTGTTTTCCACAACTGATAAAATATACAAAATAAACTGTAAATAAAATATACATAATAATCATTTTTCTTACTTTTTCTACGCTCTTATAATATCAATGATATTGTTTAGAAACGAAATCAAACGTTTTGACAATGACATTGAAGTGTGATTTGAAGTTTGAAAATATGTAAATATTGTATTGCGTATTAGCATAATAAAATAGGTACCAAGGAGTACTTTTATAATATAAAAGTGCTGCTTAGGTAACCTAAGTAATTGATATATTATTATAGTACAGTAGGCATTATTATAATATATATATATATATATATTTTCTTTAGATTACGATAGATAATGTATATGTATATATATACATTATCTATAATAATCTTTCCAGTCCAAGCTCAGCTCAGCAGATCAAAAACAATTAATCATTAAAACTAAAGTCTTTTATTATAGTTTTAATTGATCTGTTAATAAGTGTCAATGTTAATCAATAAAGTAATAAGAAGTGTTTTATTGGTATGCTGTCAAAAAAATTGTTTGATAACCTCATAATATTATTAAAAGTTCAAGAAAAATATGATTGCTTTTTCAGCTGCCGTTTGTACACATCTACAGAAGTACCATAGCCTCCGGAAAACTGTTAAATACTTGTACCATGCATTATTTATCACAAAAGGATGCAGCTGCCCTTGACCAGGATTTGTTTAATGAGTATAAATTTAGTGTTGATCAACTAATGGAGTTGGCAGGTTTAAGTGTTGCTGCGGCTGTAGCAAAAACATTTCCGCCTACCACGTAAATGTTTTCTTAATTTTCATCTTCGATTCTAATTTTAGATTTCAATTTCAATAAAGTGTCAATTAATTTCACTAAGTTTATTTTTGCAGACACAACTCTGCATTAATTGTATGTGGACCAGGCAACAATGGGGGTGATGGCTTAGTAGCTGCCCGCCACTTAATCTTGTTTGGCTATAAAGTTTCCGTTTACTATCCAAAACGAACACCTAAGCCCCTTTATGAAAATTTGTTGCACCAATGCAAGCAATTTGGAGTGGATGTTTTGGAAAAACTACCTCAATCAAATGATTTGCAAAAGGATTATAATGTATTGGTAGATGCTCTTTTTGGCTTTAGCTTTAAACCGCCAGTAAGGGAAGAGTTCAAACCAGCTTTAGATACATTAATTGATGGAGGACTTCCAGTCTGCAGGTAAAGCGCAACACAATACTAATTCTGATCCCTATAGAACATGGAAGGGATCAAGATTAATATATTAATATTCTTATTGAGTGACTTTTTTCAGTGTTGACATTCCAAGTGGTTGGGATGTAGAGGAAGGCCCTGGTTCTGAAAAATATTTGAAACCTTCAGTTCTTGTTTCCTTGTCAGCACCTAAAAAGTGTGCAAAGCCAGAATTTATTGGTAAAGCAAAACATTACTTGGGAGGCCGCTTTTTACCACCTGGCATAGTAGCAAAATACAATTTAACACTACCTACATATCCAGGTCAAGATCAAGTTGTAGAAATATGTTAACTGTATTCTAAACTATTAATGAAGGTAAAATTAATGCATCAATATAACCACTTTCTTATTTTATTTTTTTAAGCTTTAAAAATTAAAATAAATGTGTTACAAGGGGTGATCAAAAAAGTTGTAGAATGGAAATGAAATTAAGTGCAAATTTATTTTTCCTTTTTAATATACTGTCCTTAACTTTTATACATTTTTCCGCTTTAAAAATCGTGGCCATGATCTTTCCGGCCGATTGCAACACTTTAAACTTCTTAGGGTGAGGTGTCTTTTTTCTAAGCCACAGCACTGACTGAGGCTTAAGTGGTTAACCTACGTTTCGTCCCCAGTAATAATGCACAGCTCATTTACTCATCTCGGTAGTCCCTATGGAGTTCTGAAAACTTCTGCGAGCACTGTATGTGCTGTTGCTCTTGACGCAGTGTGAGCATTCTCAGCACGCATCTTGCGCTGACTTTTTACATGCCAAGATCATCAAAATGGTAGAGTCAATCTCTCCCAATGTTTTCTTACTACTTGCTTTTTCTTCAAACAAACATCTTCAAGAACAAATTTTTTCACTTTTTCGACAACATCCGAGAAAGTGGTATCAATCGGTCGACCCGAACGGTCATCGTTTTCAGTTATTTTCTATGGCCATGCCATTTGGAAAGCATCTCTTCCATGATGCAACGTTTTTCTCCGCTCAGTATGAAACTTTGACAGCGCGAAACTCAATATTCGAAACAGTCACTGTTCAACGAATGGGCAGGCTTGTCTGGGTAAGTGCCAGGACTTCACTGAAGACCGGCGTGAATTAAAAGTGTTATCATCACACATCTGCGTCTCATCTGGTGGGTGAGGAAGCCGGTGCCCAATTTATTAATAGGTGGCAACTTATCAGCAACCTTACGGCTGTTGCAAATGTCTATGGCTGTCTTATAAAATTATTTTTTGTAACCGTGAATGTCGCCTCATGCCATTGCCGTGTCCGCACAGCTGGGTACTATGCAAAGCAAGGGTTATCCCATGAACTTGCTGCCCTCTAGACTTCACGCAATTAGCGCTCGATTCCGCACGGATTCCGGGGGACGCCTCAAGTTACTTCATCCCCGGTCACCTTCCTCCACTGACTATCGGTGTTATGAAATGCCAAAGAACCTCAGAGGAATGAAATGCCAAAGAACCTCAGAGGAATGAAATGCCAAAGAACCTCAGAGGAATGAAATGCCAAAGAACCTCAGAGGAATGAAATGCCAAAGAACCTCAGAGGAATGAAATGCCAAAGAACCTCAGAGGAATGAAATGCCAAAGAACCTCAGAGGAATGAAATGCCAAAGAACCTCAGAGGAATGAAATGCCAAAGAACCTCAGAGGAATGAAATGCCAAAGAACCTCAGAGGAATGAAATGCCAAAGAACCTCAGAGGAATGAAATGCCAAAGAACCTCAGAGGAATGAAATGCCAAAGAACCTCAGAGGAATGAAATGCCAAAGAACCTCAGAGGAATGAAATGCCAAAGAACCTCAGAAAACTTTTAATCTCAAACATTCAAATAGAAGTCTATCTTATAAAATTACTTTTTTAAGGTCTTCAAAAATGTGACTATAGCTTAAATCTCTTAATTCAAATATAATTTGGCCATCAATTGGTACGTCCGCCCACTATTGCGTAAAAACCATCGCAACGCAAGCGCACCCGCGACTCCAATCTCTGACTATGACTAACTGAATTTTGTGCTTAGAGCCAGAGCCATTCCGCACGTCCGCCATTACTTCTCCGGCCAATAACACGTTTCGTCATGTCTTCTAAAAGGCAGAAATTTTAGTTTTCTTTACTGCCCATCAGGCGGGCATAATCAAAAAGTCGTCGGGGTCTGTTCGAGCGGACTGTGATCGAATGATCAAAGCTTGAAACTGCTGGAGAGCTGCCTGTTTCGACCGTTTATGAACTTCATAAATTATACAGAGATGCTTCGCCTAGAAAGGAAGGTCAAAAAGCGCATACAGAGAGCTAATTCCTAGTTACACCCAGTTTCCGAAAGCACAATCAATTTTAATTTACGATAAATCTCTTGTCAATCGTTGTATAACATGATCTGAATTGCTAGAACGTCTGAAAACAACATTGATTTTGATTTGCAATTAGTCACTGATTAACGGACAATCAACAGAAAATCGAGTTTCTCAAAGCGTTTTTCGGTGGTCAACGAGCTGTCAAAAGTTTTATTAGGTAATCTGTCAATTTGGACGATCAATCGTTGGTTAAAAATGTATTTTATCAAAAATCTTAGTTTTTATTTAAAATAAACATAATTCCCTAATACGTTGTAAGGACATTCATGTGTTCTATTACCTATTTATTATTTAATATTATGCGAACATATCATGCGATTAGAAACAATACAAAATGCAATTCAAAAGTTAATAAATAATATGGATTCTTTCTTTTTATAATACTTACTTGTTTATTATGGATAAAAGTTAATTTTTTTCACGTTCTGTAAAGTTTTTTCTTGACATTCTGCATGTATTTATATAAATAAAATTTTATTATAGCTCGGATTTTACGTTGGCAATCACACGGTGACAGGACTGGATAGTGACGTTAATTTAAGTTTTGTTTAAAAAGGGACAGCTATACAATAGAAAGAGTTAGTTGAAATAAATCATTCATTATCATTGGTAATACAGTGATTAGCTAATTTTTCTTGAACAAACCTTCCAGAAACCCAAGGCAGTTTAACAAGAGATTAACAGCTGATCATTTTTGACATAGTGTTATGTAATTGCTGCTTTGATTGGTCTTTCGGAAACTGGGCATTAGTAATAGGGCCTCGCGCCCTTTGAGTACGGAACCCTAAAAAGAAAAGTGATAACTAATACTTAAAAGCTACATATATTATATGTATGTACAATGATATGATGATGTGCGATGACCAGATACAAAGTGGCTATCTTTCTAATGTATTCGAACTTAGTATTAAATGACATATTTAACCTTCTGGCGAACTCGGATTAGAAGGCGATTTTGACCGCGAAGTGTTTTGCTACGGTCTTTTCTAAGATAAACAGTCGACTGAAATCTATTTTTAAAACCAATGCAAGATTTTTGTGAGGGCCAAGAGCCTCAATGCGTAAGCGGCCATGCACAAGGTTCGTTTGCAATTCTTGGCTTCGGATAAAAAACGAGTTATGGTTTAGATTCTGATTTGACTCGCAATCTAGCTAAAACTGAAAGTACTTACAGGAGGTACTAGCTGCGATAGATTAATTATATTTGGTGGATTGAGTTGCGAATGACTGCCACAGACGCAAGTCATCTCCCTCGTGTCTATTTTGTCTCGTGTCTTGTTTTGTCTGTTTTTTTCATTAATTTACTTGGTGTGCAGTTGAATCTAAAGCTAGCTATATTCAAACTAGTGCAATAAATTATATTCTGTACGAATGTCTGATGCTAAATGGCTAACGGTTCTCATTATACAACTTAACATAAAAAATATGTAAATTGTCAGTCGGGAATCGAAGACCACAAACTAAAAGTTATATTAGAGCGATGGGAGTCAGCTAACTTAGTTAATAGTTCCCACCACAGATTTGGTAGAGATGCTAACGCATGGTTTCCACCGTCAGCACTGACAGTGGTAGTGGTAGCAAATTGGAGATCATAATCCATAGCATCGTGCTGACGCAGGCTGCAATAACGTCGAAATGGCTAGATCATCTTGCTTCCATATTATTAGGAGATTCAGCCAAGCTAACAGCAACTACACAAAAAAATGATAACTTCTTAATTCTACGAACTTAAAAACGCTACCTCGTAAAAGGAGTTTGGGAGCCGGCAGGAGGGAATAATTAAGATGCAGTACAAAGAACAAGCCGTGTTGAGAAAACCATCATCTTTTATTGTCACTCGTTGCTATAGAAATTTGTCAATAATAGGGTAATGCTAGACCGATGAGAGTAAGGGTGTAAAAGATAAGAGCGGTGCTACACAGTAGCAAATGAGTCGCCACATCACCCCCCTACGGAGAAAAATAAGTACACATTGAAGGCAAAACAAGTATAAAATGTAACAATCAAATAATTATTCACTGTTATTATAAAAGTACAAGCAACATTATTTAGGATAATTTTTAACTAATGGAATTTTAATTTATACAACGAAAAAATAAACATTGGAAACTTAAAATTGAAAAAACTCTGCTTTAACAAAAATAACGTATTAAAAATTAGTACTTATAAATCTAAAATATCTTTAAATTTAACTTTGCGACCTGACCGGGTTGTTACAGGCTGTGCGGGCGTTTTAATGGGCACGGCCGTTTGGCTAATAGGAGGTGAAAGAGTCGGAAGGACTGGGGGCTCCGGTGCCAAGTTGTTAGGGGACGGATTGCCGCCTGGGTCAGGTGCAATATACGCAGGTTTTGTTCTGTCGATGCTAACCTCAGATCTTCGGCCAGAAATGTCTAAGGTAAGTGTCTTTTCAGATCTCTTCAACACTCTGTAGGGGCCTGTATAAGGTGGCTGTAGAGGGCGTCGAATGGAATCTTCGCGGAGAAGCACGTGAGTAGCATCAGGTAAGTCCTTGAAAACGAAAGTTTTAGAATTCGTGTGACGTGATGCTGGAACGAGGCGAAGTTCTGCCATCCGTTTTCGCAATTGTGCAACAAAATCATCGTCCACGGTCTGAGGGGAATTGCTAGCCACCAGGAACTCGCCTGGTAGGCGTAGCGGTTCCCCATACAAAACTTCTGCAGCTGACGTTTTGATGTCATTTTTTAGTGCCGCCCTGATTCCGAGAAGAACGAAAGGTAGGGCATGGTACCAAGAACTCTTGTGACACATTAAAGCGGCCTTTAAATGGCGGTGGAAACGCTCTATCATCCCATTAGCTTGGGGATGATAGCTCGTAGTACGAACGCGTTTTGTGGCTCCTAAATCCATCAGTCTCTTAAAAAGTTGGGACTCAAATTGACGTCCCTGGTCCGTTGTGACAGTGATCGGTACACCAAAGCGAGC